ATTGTTATTAATAAACAAAGTTTAGCGTTGAAGTAAATTTACGCTGAGACTGCACTTAGTGTTAGGCAAAATTCATATTATTACTTGGCAAAGGTTAACATAGTACTATGTTCTACGGGAGTAAAACCTATATTTACTCCAAGAAGGTAGTAGTAGTTTGATTATTCTCTTTATAATATGCATTTAAACAAATACTAATGTTACAATTTTAGCGTAAATTTACTCTGACGCTAAACCTTGCTTATTCATAGCACTGTTAGTGGTCGTCATATTTGAAATACAGGGGATATGACGCAGCCGACTGGCTAAAACGGCCGTTCAATTGGCTATCCATTAATTGAATGGCGCCATTCAATTGCACGCCTAGTATTCTAATTGGATCATTATGACATTTGGACCATTCAACAGGACGGATGATTTAAAAGTTACCAAAACGTTCATTTAGTTTTGTTGGCTGTTAAATAAAAATAACCACACAATTTAAGACGATCGCGAAGTGTAGCGTAGCATTTGTTTAAAATCCCTAACCTCTCACGTGATCTACAGGACTAAAATAACTTCGTTGTGTTATAGCACCAAACTTTTAAATCGTAATAAACATACTAAAACAATCGCAGTCAAATACACTGATTACTCTCATTTGCAATAGAAGGCGCCGAGGCCGTCTGAATCGCGCTATATCTTGTCTTTGTATAATGGTATTAGTATTAAGAATTTATTAAGAAAGTTTAAGCTTTGCCCATTTGCATTATGGGTATGTTCGTTAGCTTCCTGTATAATACGGAATTATACGGACCTTTCAGAACCAGTCGCGAATAAGCAGTTTGTTATGATCTGTTTGATCAGTCCTGAATATGTATCGATTGCGGATCGTAACAAGGAGTTTTTGAGTTTTGTTTAAAATCACCCACAATAATATTTCTTTTGTTTTACTTCTAATCCTTACCAATAAATTTCGGTATTCCTGATGCATTGATAGTTAATTACTTGGCAGACCTTTGTTCGGCCGTATTGTAGAACGTTGCGGTCAGCTACTCGGAGATCGAAAGTCGGCCTGTTAATTGAATAGCGCAATTCAAATAAAGGTCTGCTGATTATAACACTTGGATGCGACAGATATACTACGACAACAGAATTTTGATGACCGAATGAAAATCGACGTTCAAAATACTTAATTGATTTTTATCTTATTTATTTCTGATCAAATAATGTCATGAGGTCGATCGAGTTACATTCCCATTATGGTGATTTTTTTTACTAGTGTTAAAAGTGTTTTTTTATTAGGGTTAGGGTGGACTTCCTCTCTATCTAAATAAGATAAGTCTTTTATGTACCTATTGATATAAGATGTCAGTGCTTTGTTAGAATAAGTATTGCCAACAAAGTTACCACTTGAAGATAAAAGATCATATATAATGATAGGACATGAGCTCTTCCCTATTGAACTAGGTTAGACAGCTTAGACAATTTACATGCTCTAATTTTAGCGTACTTGCATTCAATTGGAAAACGTTTTGAGAAAAATCTTAAATCTATCGATAACAGCTAATAATTTCTCCCAGCCCTGCTTGCACCACACACCGTTGGTTGTACTTGGATAGATATTAGACAAAAACAAATTGTTTCATCGCACGCAAAGACAGTTGTGCTGACGGACAGACGATACGGTCACAACACTTACATAACGGCATCAATCTATTAGATTACCGTTCGCAATCCATTTAGTGGTTTAGATTACATCAAGAAAGTTTTATAAGAACAATATATTGTTCGCCTTTTCAAAGATCGTTTAATTTCACTTGTATACTTTAACAATGAATGGTTATATTAGTTCCAGTAAATTACAAGGTTTCAAAGATTCATTGTTAAAGGTTTACATGCAATGTCCATTAAAAGTGAAAGCCTTGTCACATCACATTTGTATACTATAGGCATTCTGAGGTACAAAAAAATATATTTATAAACAAAAAAAAAAAACTAATTTCTAGTTGAAGCAATAATGAACGAAGATTTGCGAAAAAAACTATAAAAATATATGTTTTCATAGTCCAGTCATCCAAGGTTTTCATAAATTTACGAATATGCAACGCATTTTTTTAAACGGCGTTCAGCTATAACAAATAAATAATTTTTGTTTCTGTTTCGTATGTTTCATTAATTTCTATAAATGGCGAATTGTATAACATTCGTACCGCTCCACACGGGTCGCGCCCTTCGTTTTCTCGTGTCATTATTTCACCCATATGCACGCGACATTGATCGAATTAACAATTCGTTTATTTTATAATTGGATATAATCAAAAGATTTAATACTATTTCTACTTTATCGTTGTCGCTTATCGATGGTTGGATTCATTATAACTTTAACTGTAAAATATAACCGTCTAACAGCCAGTTGCACAGTTAGGCGGTTATATTTTTGTCTATTAATATTGCATTAAGTTTAATTTAAAGCGACATTACCCATACTAATCTGACAATTATTAGTGGTTAAAGGCGTCATTAAACCTAAATGGACGTTTGTGCAACTGACCTTAAGTTTTGCTGGTTAAAGTTATTGTTTTACTATGCCACGAAAAAGAATAGTGTCACGCATTCCTCTGTCAATGTTAAAGACAGCGCGACGGATATTGTCTAATCACTACATAGTAAATTTTTCAATAGTAAAATTTTTCAAAATTAATTTTTCAATAGTAAAATTTTTCAAAATAAATTTTTCAATAGTAAACAAGTCGCTTACTCTGTCCCTTTATCCCTATGTGTGCTTAAATCTTTAAAACTACGCAACGAATTACGATGCGGTTTTTTTTTTCATAGATAGGGTGATTCAAAAGCTTCCTTTTGAATCATCCTATCTATGTTTTAGTGTATAGTAAGTTTAGGTTTTGTACAGACTGACGATATTAGCTCAATATGTCGGAAAAAATAAAGCCGATCGGAAACTTTCCTCAAAATCGCTGCGAAAATATTTTGAATTATAACAAAATATTGTACGGTGGAATTGTACCTCTTTAATAGATCTACAAAAAGGTCCGCGGTTTTATATGCCTATATTCCAAGGATAACCCACAATAACTATTTTTGACGTATACTTAAAACAGTAAAGTGATGGGTTATTTACGAAACTATTTTAAACAATACAGTATTAATCCTTATTCATATAAATAAGTTAGATACCTTATGCATGTAATGTAGATCAAAATTGCCTTTTAGACTATATTTTTTGATAAAAGTGTATTAAAAAATCCTTAACTTTAACTGCAACTATAGTGCAACCGTAATTTAGTCTCGTTTACACCCTTAGTGTCATAGCTGAACACTGGCCATCAACTTTTGAAAATTGCTTAATCTATTTAAATATAGGCTTAACCATTCTAAGGTTTCAAAATTTACTTTACTTTGTTGACAAGAAAATAGATGAGTTCAATGTACTACGTACTTCTGAGATAACTGAAATAGGCATGTGGCAGATAGACAGACTCCATAATTTTGTGGAACGTCATTATGAATGAATTAAGACATATAAATGAAATATTTAAACCAAATTCTACAATGACAATGACGACAATTTAGTTTTAGTGAATTTACTTAAACTTTATTGACGATAAATAAAGTACCGTTTAATAAAAGTAAAGCAATTAATAAAATTTAAATTTCAAGTTTCAAGATAGGACAGAAGAAGACAGATTTCGATAACAAATCGTCACTAATCTAGGTATCTATTGTGTTACCAAGTGACTGACTGACTGACAGAAAACGTACAGACAAACTGAAATTTAGAATGAAGATTCCTTAGGGAGTGTAGAGAAGTACTAAGAGAAGATTATTTAAAATTCCACCCCTAAGGGGCTAAATTACGGGGTGAAAGTTTGTATGAAACTTCTTTACTACAAGTGTTAAGAGTTTCAAATTTTGAATGCGGGTTCTTTTTAGGACGCAGGTGCTCACTAAGACGGGATTTTAGGAAACTCGACCCCTAAGGGGATAAATTTGGGGATGAAAGTTTTTATGGAATTTTCTCGAATTTTTAATGCGGGAAAAGTCGCTAGTAAAAAAGCTAGCAAAAAAAGTCCTAGGAAATTTAAAAACTTTCGTAGTGTTCTAAACGAAAGATAAATTGTATTATTTTACGCTCACATTTTCGTAAATTTATCAATTTGCGACGTCTCGTGGTAAATTTATAAACTAACGTATGTATTCGTAAGATTCTGAACGATTCGACCAATCACAGAAAAGCTTTTAATTTTACGCTACTTTGAAATACGGCAAATAATACACTGCTCTCTGATTAGTTGATGTTGCAGTAGCAATGCTTGTGTCCATAGATTTCGGTACAATCAGACTTACTAAACTAAAATTGATCGTGGTCCAGAAAAAGTAGAAAATAAAATAATTCTGCATAATATTCCAAAGAATTACTTGTTATGAATCTGCTTTATTATAAAAACGTAATATAATGATGACTTCTCTTTACCAATGTGCCCTTAAACACTTGTACTTGGTCTATAATTTCATTATTTACCATGTGGACGGAACAATCGAAATTATACTACTTCTAGTTTTCTATCTCTTTCTTTTGTTTCTAACATAATGTGTTCGTGCTTTGTTTCAATGTGTGAGTATTTTTCGTTTTGTTTTTTTTTAACGCTTCCATTTTTTTATATTTGTTGCTTTGTTTTACTTTGCACAACATTAACAATCTATCTGAATCTGTAACAGGCATTTTCACTATTCAGTTAAAATTGAGAAATAATATTTATTTATCAAGCTAGACGATCGTCAAAGAAATTGTATATATTATTTTTGTAGATTTCATTTCAACATTATGACGATCTACTACACTAATAGTTTTTTTTTACTTATTGACGAAATAAGGTACCGTTAAATTGTATATAAAAATTCTGTAAATTATTATGGAGATAAGTAGGACGATATTGCTATAAAGTCTGAATATAGGAAGACTAAAAATATTTAATCATTATTTTTTCATTTTTTTCCAGCGATCTACCAGATGAAGAAGACAAGAAATCTCCAGTTCTTCTTCTAGGAGTCAATAAAATATCGGACTCACCATCGCTTGTTCGCAGAAGGTCAACTGAACCGCACACCACAGGATCTATAAGGTTCTTTAGACCCCCTAAATCTAAATACACTAGAGGTCTCCAAGGAGATGAAAGATTAGAGAAAATTCGCCAAGACCTCCTAGTGCACAAACATAAACCAGACAAGTACATTCCTAGAGACAATGATATTTCATTGAAGTTGGAAGAAAAAAGATGTATCAAGCTAAATTGCGTCGGAAACTGCATTTGTGATAAAGAAAAAGGTTCTTCGCGCAGAGGCTCCTTCTCGTTTCACAGGCCAGACAACAGGCAGTCTTCACTCTGTCCCTCAGAGCCTTACGAAAAGGCAGAAGATAAAAAAGACTATTCGGAAAACGATATCGAGTTTAAATACAAAGAACACATTCCAAATTCTCAACCTAGTACCAGTAAGAGCTCTTACAATGTTACTCCGAAATCAGCTGAGCGCAGGCATTTCTTATTAGCTAATTTAAATGAACGCTTTCGGAAAACTCTCAGTTTAGACTCTCGAAAAATTGAGACCAATCGCATACCCTTGAGTTTACCAAAGGACTCTCGACCCAAGTCCTTAGTGAACACTAGTAATATTTGCGTGCAGAACTTTCAAACTGGCGATAATTCGGTGGCTACAAACTTTGATAAAGCCAACCAACCGAAAAAGAAACGGAAATCGTTTTTTTCTCTTGATACTTTCTTTGATTCCAAGAAGTCTGACACGTCATCCATTGATGATTATTGCTCTTCTAAATATAAACGTTTCGAGTTAGAAAGTGACGAGTCTCCTCTCTTTAAACGCAATCCGAATCAGAGAGAAAAGACACCTGATTTACTTAATCTGCCTATTATAATAGACTCAGTGCGTAAAAAACAATCTGAGACAAAGAGACAATTGGAAAAGCTTGAAAACCATTACTATAGGAGTCTTATTAAAACACAGCCTGTTATAGATGCAGTTCCTAAAGACGCAAAAAACGTAGATGGACCTAGCGGAAATTCCAACCATGTATTCATCGACGACGATGACGTTGAATACATTGAACCTATACGCAGTAACTTCACCAGTCAGAGTACATTAATTTTAGAAAAAAACATTCCTGGAGACTACGCTGTAAAGCCTGATTCTATTTTAACTATAAACACTGACGAGACTGATATAAAACTGCCCAGTTCTACAGTTTCACCGAAATCAAATGATGTTCGAAACTTTGATAATGATTTAGACAGTATAGGGATATATGAAATAGAAGTTAAAGAAACAGATTTACTTAAAGATCTTACGAAGGATTTGACAGTTAAAGTTATGGATAAGTCTGTGGATTCTATCGGCAGTTGTTCATTAGACGTGGATGCGAGCACGGACTTCTCAGGTAAAGTCAAGATTTGACTTATACATATATTTAATCATCACTGTCTTGTCATCATAGTTAGCATGTGATTCAGTGAATCTCTTCGGTATGACATTATCTACTATTTTATAGCTTTCGTTGTAAGTATCATACAGAGTGTTTTAATTACCATATTTCGAATGGCACAATAAAAATATCTTTATCATTCTTATTTAGTACTGTGTTTTCTTTATTTCCTGTTACTATATTGCTATTGTGATTGTTGGAATGTTTTGTGTAGTATTATTTGTAGTTCAGTTTGTTATATTGTTATCCCATTTCCGTTGAATCTTTGATAATAGAAGTTTTCATCAAGAACTTCATTTCAGTTAATGAATTTGTGCTACTTTTGTTACAAATAACAAATACAAAATATTTTGCTTTTTTTTCAATTAAAACTGCCCGTATATGAGATATGTTAAGTTTTAGTAGGTTAGAACTTTTTAGTGGATATGACGTAATATTAATAAGACTTGAAAATAATATACTGACTGGTAGTGTGTAATACCTACAGCATTAAATAGGTCACTAAATAACAATACAGGTTGCAAAATGCTAGTCACAAACGAAAATATTATACGCATACAGATACCCAACCTCGTTTAACCCACGCGTATTTATTATAGTCCGGTCATTGTCGCAATTTCGTAGACGAGTATAGACAAATAACGAATATAAATTATAATACCATCTTGAAATGTCTAAAACTTCTTGTTATGATTTCATTGTATTAAAAAATTCGCATAGAATTATGGATTGATATGTTAAACTCTGGTGACTTACCGACCGTGAAACGGAACGGTCTCAGACTGGCCGTGAACACGCTCGCCGGTTGACGTCTAGATTTGACGTTTGAAAATAAAAAATAAAACATATTGACGTTTCTTCTTTGTGATGTGATGTCATAAAATTTTGGTGTGAATAATTTCAAGTGATAAATTAATTTGAAATCGTATTTTATGTTTTTGTTTTGTGATTTCCGAATTCGTGCTAGTGTTTTGTGTGTTCTGATTTTTGTAAGTAGCACAGTGCCGTTGCAAATATTGGTATATCTAGTATCTTCTACCTACTTATTTTCATAAACTTAATTTTAAAGAAATCAGATTTACGCACCGGTATTTTCGGTCACGGCATAGCGTTTTTTCTCTTACACGATATGTAAATTTTCCAATAATAGCATTCATGCGAATGTCAGTAATTCAATAAAGATTTCTCATAGTCGTCATGTGTCTGAGATAAAATATTCGTCGTCTTTTCATATTTGATATACACTTTCTCATTTAGTTTTCAGCTTTACACTGTGTTCTCTAATATGCTTACTTATCTGTAGATTGTTAATCATAAATTATGCATATATTTAACGAAGTCTTATTCTAAACCAAGTCATAAACATTCATTAATGAACAACAGCATTAGTAATGTTTTGGTTAATAAACTTAAGATCTGATTGAATTGATTCATGATTCACCAATAGATTCTATAGTTACACATGTACTTCAAAATTACTGGAATACTTGAGTAAGAGTTTTAATTCTATTTGAAATAAATGATGCAGTGAAAATTTCATGTACAAGGTTTTGAACTGTTCATATAAACTCCAATGTAAGCTCACCTTGTATTGATTCAAAGAGTCAGTGTTGCATATTTATAGTACATAACTTATAAACACTGTGATTCTTTGAATCAGTTAATTATTGTGATTATTTTAAATGCAACTTGTAGAGCATCAACATTTATCAGACTTTATGTTGCTAATTAGGATATAAAATTAATTAAGTACAATCAGTGTCAATAAGCAATCAACTCATTTATGAATGAGTATCTTACATTCTAATAAAGAATGGTTATATAATTTTGTAGTTATGTTGTGGTATTTATTGTTTTATTCAAAACTTGTTAGTCAGAAAGGCTATTAAGATATGTAACAAATATAGTAATGTATGTTTCCTGCATTCATCTATTCATGTGAATGAATTCTGTTGAATCATCCAGGAACCTTAATCTTAAAGGAAGTAAATAATCAAGCAACATTATATTCTCATTCTGTTTGTGTAACCTAGAAATCTTGAGTTTCCTATAGCATGTTAACACAACAGCATATTCTGCAACAGTTTGTTTTGTTATGATGAGTGGCATATGAATATGCTGTCCTTTGGTCATCGCTATTATAATATAGCAATTGCTTTAAAATAAATTTCTTGTTTCAAACTTAGAGTGTGGCTTAGCTGTAATTGAGTTTTAGTTTCTGAACTTATTATTTATTTCTATCTGCTTTATTATGTCACTGAATAAATTAATTTATCTTCTTTTTATATAAAAGTGATGCAAGAAATAGCTTAAATTGTTCTAAAGTATAAAAGCGAAACAACAAATACAAAAATTTGCATTTGTCATAAAAAAAATAACAAAGAACTATCTTCTCGCTGATATTGTTTGTATCTGACAAAAGATAAATGTTCAAATACTTTTTAAGATGATTGTACATGTTTACAAATTACATGTAATACATAATCTTTGATAAGATACAAGGCGACCTTATGATAAAACATGACATATTTTATTATACACTTAACTAGTTTTTAAAATCATGTTTTTAGGATTATTTAATAAACAGATTATAAAATGTGTGATTATTTTCTCATGTATTTACCATGTGAGTAATATTATATTTAATTTGGCCTTTTAACAGTTATGTGATATGAATACTTAAACAACTTAATGGTTCAGTGTTATAACATTGATTCTATGTATATGCATAGCACAAAAGAATTTTCTCTTTCAATAAGTCCCAAATCAGTTCAACTTCTGAGTATGTCTTGATATGAGATTTTTATATGAAACATACAGGTAATGTTAGGTACAACGTGGCTGTTAACATATGTTAGTATAGAAAATCAAAATCATTTTATATGTTAGTAAAGAATTGTCTTTGTCATAAAGTAATTCTAATAGGAACATATTAGAATTACTATAATCTAAACAACCAATTATTTATATCAACTGACAATGTTTGATATTCTACAGTGACATATATGTTTTATAGTATCATCAAGAATTTATATTGAAAATATATAATATTTGTATTCACTCTATATAATATATATATATGGAATATAAAAATTGGCATATAGGTTTAATTGATTGCCAAAAATGACAAATTTCACTTATTGATTTTAAGCCTTATTTCACTGAAACAAAGAAAAAGGTTGATTGTAGAAATTAAATGTTTTGTTTTTACCTAATTTATGTGTGTGTATATATATTTATGCATGAAAAGCATGATTGTTTGTGAATTCTTCATAAAATTTTACACTACATGGCATCTTAAAACAGAAACAACTATTATAGTTACTCAAATACACAGTTAATGTTTTTTGATCATTTTATGTTAACTCTCATAATTTGCTGACCAATATGATCAATATTTTTGTGGTATATCAACATGCTTTCACAGACATTGGTTTAGAGATTGATCTAACAGAATAGGCACAAATGATTTTGTAATTTCTTTTAAATTATAAAAGGAAATTATTTATCTTTGTGTAACAAATTAACTTTTCTATATTGTCTTGGGTCTGGGTGTTGTGTTACCTTCGTTGTCTCAGATTCTCCATAATACGGGAGCTTTAGCTACTCGTCTTGGAATCTGAGCAATGTATATGATGTTGTTTGTTTAATTTTTGAATAAATAAATAAAAAGTATCTATGCGTTTTCCAGATACAACATCTGGTAGTTTGAATCTCCTAACACCATCGTCGACTACCAGTCGGATTCGAGATTTCAACTCCAGGTTCCAAGAGAGGGCAGCGTCTAACCTCCAACCAGTTAGCCAACATCCTACGCCTACTATCACACCAATTCGTACCCCAGAAGACCCCACACCAACGCCTAAAAGATCAGAAAACTTATTAAAACCGCCTCCAAAAGTTCACCTAGACGCAGGAAGTCATAGGTCTCGAGGCCACCATAAAAAACGAGACGATATACCTCACAAGAAACCGAGCTACTTGAACTTGGCCTGCTCTGTCAACGGGTACACGAATCTCACAACTTACGACTCCAAGTTGCGTCAAGATATCAACAAAAGTCGTGAAGCGTCACCGATACGGCCGATCACTCACACATACCATTACAAGAGCGAGAACAACTCTCTACTCGTCCCTGTTCCGGTCAGCGCTAACAAGCTGTTGGTCCCGACTTTCGGACCCCATGATACAAGAACGGATTTGACAGGAAAAGCGCCTTCCAAGGCGCACACCGATCCTTATCTAGCAACGTCATCGCTGCATGTTTACATGGCGGCTGAGAATAAACAGCTAAAGAACGACTTTCTCGGCACCAACATGACGACTACCAGCAGACCTTACATTTCCAGCGAGAGCAAGAATTTCGCTACATCGATGCTACATCAGACCACCGACGTAGTGGATAATGCTAAGGAGTTGACATTCAAATCCAGTTATTCGGAGACGAATTTTCGAAAGACCGTCGCTACTAATGGCAAGGAAACGAGATACAGCTCAGAATCATACACTATATCATCAAATGGAGTGTCTAAACGAGTCGAAATAACGAAGGAGAATGGGGAAAAACTCACGAGTCCCATGAAGAGTTTTATACAACAGAGGGTCGAAAGATTATACGGTCCGGGTGCCCTCGCGCAGGGTTTCTTCAACCAAAAGAGGCACAAGTTAAAGAGTCAGAGTGAAGACGACGACCCGAAAGTGCTCACGGAGAAATCTCTCAACTGCCCCAGCGAGAGAGTGGTCACTCCCAAGAAATCGAACAGCTTTGAAAGCGAAAATATGTATTCTAGTCCAAATGGAGAAATCGACTCGAGCGTATCTCTACCCGTTCTCAGGCATTTGAGGCCAGAGTTCCGCGCGCAACTGCCAATTCTGTCGCCAAAGAAAAGTATTAAAGCTGAACTCTCCCCTCAAAAATCCGAAGACATTCCAAGTCCTAAGACTGAACCGGTGGTAGAAGCCAGCCTAGTGAGTGTAACAAATGGTGTATCTGTGATAAACTTGAATGACTCTGTGAAGGAAACAGTGAATGGTGTTAACAGTGTAAATGGAGTGGAGAAGGATACCAAGGACATTGTTAAAGATGGACACTACTTCCTTGACTTGGAGAAGAAGGAGACAGAGAGGCTGATGGCTTTATCTGCTACTGCTGAGAAAGAGTTGGAAAATTTACAGGTATGTATTATTTGTTAAGATTTTAATTGAAAACTCTAGAAATACTATGAATACCTGAAAAATAAATTAAATATTCTCTATTGATTTAGGGTATTATCTGAAAGATTGCATTAAAAGTTATATCATTGAGTACATAGAGGCCTGAAGTCCGTCCGCCTTGTTCGATATCACATTTTCAAACAATATAAATATAATATACGTTTATATATGTAGTTTATTGTTTTATAAAACAATTGCACAGAATTTGCATTAGACACACCATGTATCAGGGACAATAGCATCCTGGTTTTGAAGTCTGTGATGTAGCTCAAGATCAAAGTTAATTGTCTGTATCGGTAAGGAATCGATTTGCCTAACAAGGTCAGAGGCTCCGAATCATTATTCGTTAACTGCCTTTTGGAGGTTGCTCCTCGTTTTAACGCGTTCCGATTTTGGCAACGACGTATTTAAATAGTAATCGTTTTTACGTCTGTACAAAAATATTACGGTTATATATTATATAACTTATATTAACCGGCTTAGGTCAAAGATTATAAGGCGGTTTTTTGCTATTTTAGGATTCCATACATAAAAGGTAAAAACAGGATTCTACTACTATGACTTGTCCGTCACCAGGCTGTATTTCGTCGTTTGCAGGTCGGCAAGGTGAGGTTGGCTAGTGCAGTACCTACGTACTGTTTTCACTAGCTGTCCTCACGTTTGGACTACGCCTCCGCTTACCATCAGGTGGAGCGCAGTCATTTGCCCTCCTATACATAAAAAAAAAAAAAAAAAAACTTTAAAAACATATACTAAAAATGAACTCGCTATTTTTAAATCAGGAAATTACAAGAACCGAAATGCCATGCCATGATGGAGCATCGTGTGACGTCACATTTCAATAAACTAAACGTCAATGGGTAATAAAAAAAATATATTGCCCGGCTTTACAATAACTAGCCGGCCGGGATCCTAACAGTTCCCCATCTAGTGACATGACCTTATGTTATCATTCATTCCAGTTGTATCATTTGCACATAGCCTTGCATTCCGCATACTAGTTATATCTTTCATGTTTCCTTTCATTCTTTATCCGGCGCGTTCGCTGCTAACTATACGTATTCTTTATTTATTTCGTCTTTTGTGGATATTCAAACAAGACTATTTATTTTACAGATATATACTTTTCCTATTACTCTTATATCTTTATTTTCATTTAAGTATTTGTTGCTTATTGCTCGCTATTAGCAAATTAACGTCAACGTCTTTGTTCCGAGTGCAATCAGTTCTCATTGTTATTGAATTGTGACGTCACGCCTCCAAATGTCACGTTACTGATTATTTGGTGATTTAAATATAATTTTACAGTCGAGTAGTCATTTGCAACAGCTGAGGTAATGTCTCTTTATATATTTTTCTAGGACCAAGACGTTAGCGAGGAAATTCTAGGTCTTCTCAGAGCTGCGTCTGGCAAGGCGAGATTATTAGCTACACAGAAGATGCAACAATTTGAAGGTAATCTATACTATACATAGTATGAATGAATGAATAATTCCTTATTGTACATCAACACCAATAATAGGAAACAAAGAACAAATAGTAGAAGTATAAAACTAAGCCCCTCGCTTAAAGCTAGTAAATTCATGCTAAATAGCTGTTTTTCTACATAGCGATTTCGATACCCTATGTATGATGTAGCTTCCCGTAGGTGAAAGAATTTTTAAAAGTAGTCCAGTAGTTACAGTAGTCCAGTAATACCCTACGCAAAGTATATTTTCGGTTTTCACGAAAATAATAGTGATATTTCGGCAAATGATCGGAGTTAAAATATGGAAGTACATGTAACTTTCATGTTCGTGAAACTTCAAATGATTGTTAAAGCTTTCCGCCGACGGCTTCACCCGCGTGGTCTTGTATTATACATAGAAACCAACCTTTTGAATGATCCTATCAATGAAAAAAAACTGCATCTAAATCCGTTGCGTAGTTTAAAAGATTGGAGGACAGAGACAGCGGCTTTGTTTTATACTATGTAGTGATTTTGGGATTGTACATGTACCTTATAGGTATTTATCGAGTCCCCGATATTTCGGCTGAAGTTTTGCGGGCGGGTGTTATTGGCAGATAGGTATATCCATCTACCTTATTTCGTTTCCTCTTACATCCGATACCCGATACCACTGTTCACTATCATCTCGGTCATCAACTCACTCCTATTTTCGACATACAATACTCACTGTATCCGCAGAGCGATTCTGTAAAATTTCGAACTCGAATTCGAATTCTATCATATATCCGAATTCACGTCATTTAGTGAAGAAATTCTATTGATTCCATTTTTTTGCATAGAAACATAAAAAAAAATTGATTGATTATACGTGTCTCAGATCTATTCCTATGTCATTTCGAAACTCACTTCACTTATGCCACGAAACGTTATTATCAATTCAAGATTGAGCGGATGACGTTTTTAGAAGCGAACTCGGACACCTGAGTGAATTCGAATTCGGGTTTGGATTTTTACAGTATCCCAGGGCAGATCGTGAAACGACACTTTTTTTTATTTTTCTATTGGTTTTGACGAACAACCGAATTCCAGACACTACAAAAAATAAACACATATTTTATACTTTAATTTTAAATGCTGTTAAAAATTCACTAGTGAAATATTGTTATAAAACGAATTTAGATTTAAGTATGGTATGTTCTAAAGAATAAAAAACCCTTAAATATTAAAAAAAAAAAAACTTTAATTTAACAAAACTAAATCATTACAATTGAGGAGTGGTGGCTCGCTACGTCACAGCTTAGCAGAAAATGTACAAAAGCGTGACGTCATACGACATTGTAACTCGATGTAACGCCGTCATTTAGTGATCATGCAAAAAATAAAAAAGTAAATACGTGTTCAATATTTTTCCATAACCTCAAGTGGACAGACAAAAAAAATGTTATTTCAATAATATGTATGAAATTCGTTATTTTTAAACGGTCCGTAATGTTATCGGCAGGTCTGTGCTACAACAATATAAATGAGCGAGCAGACGAACCGTTCCCGACAACGGTGCAGGACTTACAGGGATTCTGGGACATGGTCTGTCTACAGGTGGATAATGTGAACGCCCTCTACCACCACATAGATATGCTCAAAGCCAACGGCTGGCGAGAGGTCAGTATAAACTATCTTAAGGCAGAAATTGCTTGATATAAACCCAGTTTCTGAATTGAGCATTTAAAGTTACGCGCGTCTCGAACAGTACTTTAACGTAACTTAAACAGATTTTCGTTTTTGATGTTAGTGTTTTTTTTTTGTGATCAGTAGATAGCAGTTTGATTTGTCAATTTTTCTCAATTCAGAAACCGACCGTTAGACAGAAATATTTATTTTTAATTATGCGCGGATTATTATATAAGATTTTTGTATTCATAATGCTATTTTTTAGTTTGGTATGCTAAGCGAATGTTAAGCACCTTGTGCAAGGGTTAGTCATAGGATGGGTAGCCGAAGTATTTTGTTAAATTAACGAACATGCTCATTTATGAAAATTATGAAAAAGTATCAGATAAAATTGTTATTTTTATTTTCACTTAGTCCGATCTAATTGTCTTGAAGATTTTCGAGTTGCATAATTCAATTGAAGCCTTACTTGCTGGTCCAAAAGTGTGTTCTGTCGATAGTTTAATAATGACAAACAGAGTGAGAGCAGAGTGTCGTGCCTTAACTGATTTCAACAGAATATTGTACAATCGAGTTCAAATTCAAAGATAGTTTTGTTTTCTCTTTTAATCACCTCAATATTTCTTTATTGCAAAGTTGGTGTTAACGATGCGGGTATACAATGTTATTTTAAAGAATATATAATATATAATAGAGTTTGCATATCATGAAGTCGAATAACGTCTCGAGGCTTTTTATTTTTCTAATTGTCATTTTATATATTCTTTATCAAAGTTCGATAAACTTTTCCCTTCAAAAACCTATGTCGTTTTCTTTGTAATTAGACTTATACTTACTGTAAGACCCGCGTCGGCTACAGTTAATTAAAATAATAAATTCAAGTACATAGTTATTTATCATATGTATTAGTAGATTGGCACCTGTTGAACGCTGGTTATAATGAATTTTAAGATATACAGTTTTCAAATTGAAATCATACTTAGTTTTATTTATTTAACAAATTCCAACCGAACTGAAATAAAACAATATTGTATTTCGTCTTCAAAATCTAGCGATTAGATTTATTAATAGTCTTCGTAAGTATGATCACGTGTCACATATACGTAAGCAGCTCATGTGTCTACCCATTCGCCAGCGTAGAAACGTCAGGATTGTCTGTCCTTCTGTTCAACGTCCTGAATAATCCCGTCTATTGTTCCTGTCTGCGTGAGCGTTTCACCTTTCTCCGTTTTTCTGATGCTCTTTGCAGATCCCATCTTAAGTCCGTTCTTCGAACTCCTTCACACAAAACAGATTTCGCATCATATTCCTTCACTGTTCATGCTGCTAGACTCTGGAACTCTCTACCTCTTTCTCTACTAAGTGACAGGCGCTCTATTTCTTTGTTCAAAAAGAGTGAAGAAAAATTACCTTTCCTCTTGTTGATATTAGAGAACGTAGGTAATGCTAAACTTTATATAATTTATTTATTTATTTAATCTTGATGCCTATAAAATAGGCAATAAAAAAGGAATTCTCTACCAGTCAAACCGGTGAAGGTGTACAGAACATTCAAAAGGCGGTATCATTAAAAGAACAGAATTCTATTCAATAATAATAATATAATTATTTATATAATGTTTGCACAGTTACGTAAGTTTTTTATTTTATTTTTCTCTTTCCCAGTATTTGTATGTTTATATATTCCATACTAGCTTTCCGCCAGCGGCTTCGCTCGCTTGGTCTTGTATTATACATAAAAATCTTCCTTTTGAATCACCCTATCTATGAAAAAACCGCATCAAAATCAGTTGCGTAGTTTCAAAGATTTAAGCATACATAGGGATATACGGACAGAGAAAGCGACTTAAATTTGTACTATGTAGTGATTAATTTTATTTAGGAGGTACACACTATATTTATGTTTCCTGTTGGTCGGCCTGCTGGTAGAAATTTCAATTTCCATATAAGCAGTGCCCCTTATACTCATGTCTGTAACATTTGTTCATGTGAAAATGTATGTGTGTATGTATAAAATAAATAAATATAATTTTCAGATATCGACGCCGTCAAAGAAGCCCGCTAGCACAAGCGGTAGTGGTACATCGCGCGGTCGAGCTCGTAACACCACCGGTACAATCACCGCCTCCACCAGCACGCCGCAGAATGAGAAGGCGCGACTGGCCGCCGAGAAACGGGACGCGGACAGGAAGGCGATGCTCGAACACAGGAGGTCTGTACTCGCGGGTCTCATCCCCCCTCATGCCCCCGCACGTGAGGGTACTGTTATAGTGTAATTTGTATTAGATACTGTTGAAAACGCAACATATACGTTACCTATTGCATTGTCGTCATGCAAATAGGAGACCGAGTCTTGAATCATCATCATCAGCCCTTTTACGTCCCCACTGCTGGGGCTCAGGCCTTCCTTATGGATGGTTAAGGAGGATAGGCCATGACCCTCCACGCTGGCCCAATGCGGATTGGAGGGTATTAACGACTGCAAATGCAGCCAGGACCAACGGCTTAACGTGCCTTCCGAAGCACGGAGTAGCTCGAGAAAACTTTTTTTTGGTCACCCATCCCGTGACCGATCATTGCGAAAGTTGCCTGACGACAACGATCGCGGGCCGCGGCGCTTATCCACTACACCACCGAGCTACTCATAGAGTCTTGAATAATAATATCAATTAAAAGTTAGTTTTGGATTTGACTCCTGACGAGCAATGTATTGTTCTAAAATCGTTACAAAATAAATGAAATATAAAATAAGTTGATTTAAAAAGCAATAACTGGCCGCCACCGTAAGAATACATTGTAGGGATTTTAGTGAGAGAGAAAGAGAGAGAGAACGATTCGTCTCCACCTTCCCCGAGAAGAGTCCGCCCCAGTATACGGGATTCTTTTTATCCATATGAGGCGAACCGCATCGGGTTTTACTTCCACATAAACCTGCCCTCTTTAGGGCGGGGTGGTTGGGCAACCCTGGTCTAAAGGCTTGAGTGCATTTCACCTGCGTCATAAAAAAAAAGTTTTTATTGGTAGGCCTTATGGCCCATTGAGCGAAAACCGGTGATAAAACCCACAGAGGGAATTTTCACATAGCCTCGTTGCTAGCCAGGCGGCGGGGCGGGCTTCAAGTATTATTACAACAATTAAAAAACGTTTTTTTTTTTCACGCACGAGGGGTTTTGTACCGAAAACGAGCAAAAAATGACATTTTTTGTATGGAAATTGATTATTTTTTTAAAGTGAGAAAAAGACATTAAGAGTACTGACTACGATTTTTTCCTGTATTAGACCAAATCGCCTAAAATGTCGTGTTCTAATGTAAAAGTTCGTTTCCAATTAGTTAAAAAACTCCACACAAACATACGCATAGAATCTGCATATTTAAGTTTTTAGATTTCGTACCCAAAGGTTAAAACTGGACCCTATTACTGATACTCCTAACAAACATAATTTTTAGCGTTTTTCATGGGTACGCGAGTCAGACTCGCTCTTGGCCAATTTTTTAACCAACTTCAAAAGAGAGGTTCTCAGTTCGACCTGTATGTCGTATGAATGTTTGTACCTTATTATCTCCCGTTTGGCCGAACCAATTTTGATGCGGTTTACAGCATAGTATTTGTCAGACTTAGGTTTGATTGACAAACAAGGTTTTAGGTATATGAATCGTCTAAAAAATGTGGTTCGCACTTTAACACGTTTTTGACACGGTTATCAGAAAAGTATTTTTAGTTTTACCTATTTTAAATGTTTTTTTGTCAGGAGGATTGCCCGTGAGAAGCAACTCGCTGGACCAAGTCGAGAACGAGACCAAATGAACATCGAAGGCGCTCAGGTACTTGACATATATATAATGCAGACTCATATCCGTCTTATCTATCGCACACTCACACATTATTTCTTTAAAAATTGAACGGGCGTCAAGAGAATCCGAAATGGAATCAATGTACCCGTCAATGAGATATGCGCGTCAAAAACTAATTAAACGATTACTTTAATTGTATTAAGGTCGGCTTCAAAGTAACAAACATGTTCATTAATTTACTTTATTAAAAAAAATATTCATGTTTTGGCTGTGACAGAAAAGACCCTCAGAAATGTGATGTAGATATCTTGTTTTTAATTACAGCTTATTTGGACGTAATTTCACGGTACAAAACCTGCTTTCTAAAGCAGTGCGTACTTTTAACTTGAGATACAAGATTTTTGGTCACCCATCTCACGAGCGGTATTTACTATACGGTAACTTTCCATATTATTAGTATAATTGAAGTAATAACTTGTTTTCCCTTACAGGAGGTAGAAATCTTTGTGGGGAAAGGACCAAAACCCTCTACGAAGGCGCCGCAAGGTGACTGTCCCACTCACTCCAACTCTGATCTCTCGCTCACCGACAGCTGATCATCATCACACACACTCTCCTGCTCCAAGTACTATCTCTAATATATTGAACACGCATTTGCAATAACTTATAATAATATAATACTTTAAAAGTTACAATTCCTTGTAAAACTATATAAATTAATTGATTCGAAATAAAACTGCTGTATTTCTATAAATTAATAATTCACAGGCTTGTAGAAATAGCCAAATACAGGTTTCCATACATTACAGTGGCTTAACTACTTGCTGTAAAGACAGAAAGCATCATATGTCTTTCAAAGTGTTTCTTATAAAATGTTCAACATTTAATTTTTCTATTCTAACGATGTTGCCAATTATATAAATATAAAAGAACACAAAAATAGCACATTCAGAGCTTTACAGAATTAACAACAACAAAAAAGTCTTTATTAGTAAAAATAAAAAAATATATATATATTTATAATTCAAACGTTTCATATGCATTAAAGTAATTTACCAGATATTCTTTCAGTCAATTACACAAACGTCCATTAAAATGGTCATTAGTTTAAAATGACATCTGGACGACAATCGACATTTGTGCAACTGACCGTTTATGTAACAAAAACTAGTATTATCCATTCAATGTATATTCCGAGTAAAACTTGATGAATTAATTGTTATTAATAATAGACAAAGATATATGGATGCTGCGTTTATACAGTTGCTGGATCACGTGAATGTTATAATATTGATAAAGTGTATATTAATTGACAAAACCGATTAGTTCGGTATCTTCTAAATTATTAATTGTATTTGAAGAACAAAAATGATTTCCTTAATAATGTTATTATTCTTTAGATAAAATGTTGTCAGGGAGGCAATAAAATGTGAACTATGGTGACATATGATCTGTATGGTCATGATTTTATTTCGGATCTGGTTATGGATATTTAAGAATTTTTGTATTAGTTTCGGTTACGGATACAATTTAGTACTATTAGATTTTTGAGCAATTTTAGAATTGACATATCTCATTTAGTTTCCGCCCCTACTCGGAATTATCCGATATGTTTACTTTCGATATTTAATAATTTCGATTATGACTTCCTAGCATCCCTAAAGTGTAATGCCCGGAACCGTGATAGAGAGACAAAGATGTGCGCGCCTTGGTTTTTCTCTCATTTTATTGTCTCACGGGCAGCAAGATTTGTAAAATAAAACTCATAAAAATGTAAGAAATAATAGTAACTGCCTTTAAATTACATTTATTAGTGAAAAAACCAAATCATATACGTTTATTGATTGTAAATGGGAATTTCTTTTTTGCTGTTACCAATAGAATTTTTACCAAAAGACAAAATGATATGAAATAATATTTGTTTAATAGAATACATTTGTGTGTCACAAAATACGAAAATGACATGATTTCATTACTTGATGGTGTAGTTAGTCACTTTATGTGGTAATAAAAATTTAATATCCAGTGGCTGTATAAAAAATAACAATGTATTTTATAAAAAAAAAAACCAGCTAAGTTGTAGATGAATTGTAAGAAAAAGGTATGGGTGTGTCTGTGATTATTGGGGGATTTTGAATATTTATAGATTACTATTATATGAATTATGATACTCAAAACATCTTTGAAATATAAAAATCATATTTTTACTTTTTCTTTCTATGTATTGTGAAATGATGTAATGTCGGAATCGATTATTTTGTTTGTTATGTACATGTTTTTATTGTAATTAGAAAAAGATAAAGCTTTGTTAAAATGACATTGTTTGCAAATCATTGTTACAAAATTATCATTAAAAATCGGAACACGATTTTGTGCATTCCATCCATATTTATAAATTTGATGTGAATCACTTAGCTATCACTAATATTACTATCGAAATCTTACTGTCTTGCTCACTATTATATTGAAAAATGAATGAAATAGCAATAGATATAGCTTAACTCATTGCAAGAATGTTCGCATTTAAGAAATGGTGACATTTTACAGTGTGAACATGTCTTATTTTTTATAAGACCCTAAAATATATGAATTAACCGAATTATTGAGATTGTATTAAGCTACAAATTGTTGCATTGACAATACTGTAAAAAAATATTATTTAAAAATATCTATCGCAGTCTTATTTGAATGTTACAGCATTGAAAAGGACGGCAATATTATAGTCTGATGCTCTTGTAGTACTACAACAGGTTTGTTAGACTTTTTGCAGTATTGCCATGTTTCAAAATATGAATTATATATTAATTAAACTGTATATCGGAATGTAATAAATAATAATAATATTGTATCTATATTACGAAGTTTAGTTGTTATAATGCAAATAAATTTAGTCATTGGATTTACATACATGAAAATATAGTTTTAGTAAATTTTGTATTTCATGTTTTATTTTCCTTCCACTATTGTTCTCAGTTGACAACTGTTTTGTTAAATGTTGCCTTGGAAATTCAGTAAACTGCGATCTGGGGTGCGACTGCCTAACTAATTCTAGTCATAGGATACATGTTATCAATGTTACGACAATACCTATAGGTGTACCAGAATCTGATGGCAAATCAGGAAATTTTAATTTATACATGGCAACATTTGGGAAAAAGGATGAAGATGTCTTGATACTAGTAATATTTTAATATAATAACTTTTCAATAACTGCCTCATTATCATTGAACATAATCCTGCCTAACCGAATTCCAATAATTACATATTTTGACATAGATTATCCAACTGCGTGAGACATAATATAGTACACAAACGGTGTATGTTACACATTATATAACTTATATTATTGACAGCACCCGACTTGACAGAAAAATCCATTAATGTTTAATATTTTCACAAAAACTCATATTTTTACTTAACAGTTAACAATTTATATTGCCATATAAAAATCGATATTTCTCTTTTTATTTTGTGCCATCAGATTCGGCTCATTCTGGTACACCTATATATTGTATCATGCCACAGAAATATAACTAGATTTATTTCTGTGTATCATGCTACTACATTGACATGTATTTAATTGGTCTTTTGGTGGATAAACGCTCAGAATAAGGAATCTATTTTAGCCTTAGTTCTATGCCTATAGTCTTTATTAAATAGGGATAAACAGTCTAGTTACATAGTTTCTCATATATAAAAAAACAAAGAAGATGACAGTTCTGGCATGACAAATGCAAGAACTAGAGGTAAATACGAATCGGGTTCGGTGTTTTATAGCCTCTGACTTCTTACCTATGTTTTCATCTCCGTTTTTGTATGTAACTAAATGCATTCATGATTAATTTATTTACTCGATTCTGCGTAACTTGAGCATTTCGTCACAAAAATGTTTAAAATAATGAGAATGAGGAAGTATAAAAAAAATTTGTTCCCAAAATCAAACTAGATGTCGCTACAGTACTTTCTTGATTTCTCCGTGACAACCTTTCGGTTTTCTTTCATGTATAAAAGTAAATTAATATTCAAAGCTCTATAAACAACTCATATTCTACTTGTGCTTTTTCGTATTTGTAGAGTCTGGCAAGCGAAACGTGTCACAAGAAAAGGGCGGCAATTTCAAAAATTCTTAAGCAGTAAACACTGAATGTAGTACTGCAAAATAATTTTGATACTTTTATTAATTATATTTAATCTTAACATTTAGATATCAATTAAAATTATTTGTTTTGGAACATTTGACTAAAGCGTGACTGTTCTTAATTGTACAGTTAACAGCATATCAGTAGGCCTATTCACTAACTCAACTGACAACCAAGAATCGTCATCACCGTAAAAAATAGACACTTTGATTGTGTCAAAATCACTATTTCGTATTCTCTATCAATGATGAGCAATTTCGAAATGTCAATATCGGCATTCTCCACTGGACTCCATTTTGACACTTGATTTCGTATCGATAAACTGTATTAAAGTAACATTGTTGCAAAGCATATTTGAAGTCGTCGCATAGTACCTCTTAAGCCATTTGTTGTTAAATTAAAGCGAAAAAAAATACGTATCCAATATTTTTCTATTATCTGACTGACGGACTAAATCGAATCTTTTTTTTAACCCATTCGTTATACCTATTGGCTAACAGCACTTATAATATTAAAAATTCATATTTGTCATTAATTAAAAGGGTGTTTTTTGCAACGACTTCTTTGTTTTTTTGTAATGAATATGGGCGACTCTGGCCACATTTTTTTAATAAATGTGATGTTAGCCAATTTTGATTTCTGGCCCTTATATTTATAATGTGTTCATAACACATACATGTCTCCTAAGGGATTTTCATCACAACCTTTTGCTCTGATCCAGAACCACTATCTATCAAATTAAATTAGTCAATATAAACACCAGATTACAATAAAAAAAACATTTATTTTTGTTACAATTAAGTGCCATGGATAAATTACATAATACAGGTGTCACAAAATCATCATGTTAATCACAATAGAAAATTTAAGATAAGATTTTGACTATGAATCAGACTAAAAATACTTTAGTCTGATTCATAGTCAAAATCTGTTTCTAAATATTCTACACCTGATAACAATGACAAGGAATCATCAGAGTCACTCTCTTCACTACTGTCTGCACCAACAGATATAATAAATTTTTCAAGTTCGTTTTCAACAATGCCATCTTTTAATTTGTAATCATTTTCGACATTTAAAACATGATCAGTGTATTTCTTCCAGTCACTAGGGGTAATTAAGTTAAAACACTCTATTATTAAGTTTTCCATTTCCTTTCCTGGTATTCCAATGTTTCTGCTTGCAATTTTTCTTTTTGCTTGACTCCAAACCATCTCTATTGGGTTTAAGTCACAATGATACGGTGGCAGAAATAAAAGTTCATGATTATGTTCTTTTAAAATCTCTTCAGCTTCATATACAGGCAATGTTTTCTTATCATTAACCAAACACATTAACTCTGCCTTTGTCTGATATTCCTCAAAATGTATTCCATTATTTACAAGCCATTTACGGATATCTGCTTTGGTATTAGACATTATAGGCGGTTTATTGATTTGTTTTATATGGTAGCTGGCATTATCCATAACAATTACACTGGGCTTACTTAAATTTGGTATTAATTTTTCTCTGACCCATTTCATAAAGTTCGATGAGTTCATATCATCATGATAATCAGCAGATTTGGATTTACTACTGAACACTAATAATGCACCAGGCACAAAACCTTCCTCAGATCCAGCATGCACAACAATATGCCGTTTTCCAGAGGATATCTTTGTAGTGACACCAGTTGTTGAAGGTCCTTGCCAAGACTTTTTAACTTTATAATTCTGATGTACATAAGTTTCATCAAGGTACACAATTTGCTTTCCTTCATTTCGTTTTATATTTATTTCTCTCAAATACTTGTGCCTCCATGCAGAAATCTGGTATTTTTCTATAAGCATAGAACGTTCATTTTCATTGCTTTTAAAAGAAAATCCATTCTTAAGCATAATTTTTCGTAAAGTCTCACGGCTACCACTGAATCCTATTGCATCTTTTAATTCATTGTGAAGGCTTCTTAATGTTGGAACAATTTTTTTCACACAGTAAAATTCATTTACTTTATTCCGAATTGCACTTAAATCAAAATTATCTAAAGCAGACACTGTTGGTTGATGAGGTCGTTTTTTCCCAGGAGTGTCCCATTTTCCTTTATTAATTAATGCTTCATTTTTTATCCTTCTTAGTGTCCTTATACTTACATCTATAAAAGATTAAACACTTTGAAACAAAGATATGTTAAATGTATTTAAAAGCAAATAATGATAGACACATACATCAAAATAATTTAAATACCTATTCAACTATGAATGCAATTTATGTTTAATTTAGTTAAGTTTATGTGCATATTTAGCATGTATAACAATTACATGGTTTGATTAGTTTCATGAATTCTGTGAATTTCCTTGTTAAACAAAACATTCTTATGACATCATTGGATGTCAACAATAAAAACCAATACATCATAAAAAACCTATGTAAATATTATAGGAATACTATCAATCTATCTTAAATCAAAACAAGAAAAGAGACCTGTCATTGAAGAAATTTTTTGTAAGTACTGCGTTTCCGAATTCAGCATTTCTTGTTTTTCTAAAGTTTTTATTGCATTTATCTCCTCCATTATTGGTTGAATATCACCATCACAGTTATCTGAAATAGAGCAATATTTTATAAAAAATATCTGTTTAGTTAATTACAGAAAATTAAAACGAAAGTATCAAAATTATAATACAAAACTAACCTAAAAAAGATACAACTTTATCTAATCGTTGTAATTTCTCCATGAAATTTTTATTTAATTCAGTTTTCACTTCAGTAAACTTGTCAATCATGATGGAAAGAAGTTTCCTCGATGAACTTTTTATCGGCTTCGACATAATTTTTAACCAAAAACACAAGTTCAAATTCGCAAAAACAACAAAATTCAATATTCTTGAATTGTCTAACGTAGTGTCAAACTGACAGTTCTATGTTGTTGCCATATGAAAACGGAAAAATAGGTGGTGTCACGTTTCGCTTGCCAAACTCTATTGATATCTAAGTTTTGAACTTTGCAATTTTCATTTTTTTAATGTGTACATTTTTTAGTTAAAAGTAACGGAAATGACTATCTCTGGTTCATTCGTTTCCTGCAAAAATCAACTTTTGGTAGAGTCGCCAACTAGTCAGATGCATTTTTAGTGCTTTTTTTTTTCTTAAAATACTTCCTCATTGTTATACACACAGGTTATACAACACATCCATTGCTCTAATGTAGCTACAGCACTTATATTATGAAAATCTGAAATAATGAAGTCAACACGTTGTAGTATCTATATAATTTTAAAAATTTTATTTAATTTCTTAGTATAATTTCTTTACTACATATAGATGTAGTACCCAAACCTAAGAAATTATATAAGAGTTCATTTTCTATATTCATCAAGAATCGAACCCAGGATCTCGGACATCTTAAAATCGAACCTCTTTATTACAGAATGTGAATAAGACTAAAATATTCGATTGCAGTAGTCAGACAGTCATAAAATCCTTAGTGGCTTTTGAAATCTGATACCCTAGAGCGGTGAATCCGTTTATCATGCTGGCAGGGCTCTTTGATTTTGATTCATATCTAATCTCTTAGTTAGTTAATAGTCCTTTATGAAATAATGACAACGAGGCAAGTTTCAGAGACAAACGAGAGTCTTTGTGACGATTAGAGTACCAATTTTGAATTAGCAATTCTATCTTTCTACATGAATTTACCGAAAACAACACGTTAAATGAATTTAATAAGTTATTTAAGGAATTATTTATATAAACAATCTTTTGATCATAAACATTTTGAGTCTTACCACGGACCATTATTAAATTATTATAAATTTAGTTAGTGATTTGACTACTAAGACATCATTAATTTACTGAAGAATAACTTCAAGAGGCCGATCGTCAACCCGACAGATTAAATAATGAATTCATCTACCGATCTACCGAAAATAAATGTTTGATTAAATGATTATTATTGTTATTAGAGACTGTGCGAATTTTAATCGTATGTACATCGATTATTGTGAGATTCTCCCGTTGAAGTAAATGACTTAAACGAAGCAAGAAATCCCGGAGTCCGCGAAAACCATGTATGGTGTTGCCAATTTTGAAACGCATGCTCTAGTTGTTTTTTTTTTCTATTTTGTCATTTCATAAATAAAAAGAAATTTGGGAAATTTTTATTAATTTTTGCTTACGCACGTTGGGGGCCCCGTATAATAGATACGGCAGATACGGCGGTAGCTACGCCCCTGATAATGTCGTAAAAAAAGTTAATACAGAAATAAGGATTCCGACCTCATAAAAAATTAAAACAGGATTATAGGCTTCCTTTTGATATATTTTTTGTTACGAATTAAAAATGATATATCAAAAGGTTGACAAAATCGAGTTAGAGCAATCAAAGGCTAGAGCTATTAAATATACGGTGAGGAAATTGTCTAATTTCTGAAATCACTTTCAAAGGTACTTATAGCAATATGAATCTGTGTACCATTTAAAGTCGCAATCGCTTTTGCAACTAATGAACATTTGAATGACCTAGAAACATAATAAAAACTTAGTTAAATCCTGTCCAAAGATTACAGCACTCCGGTCGGTTCTGGAAGCCAGCCAATCCCTGTCCCTAAAAGAGCCACTGGTTCTGAAAACGACCGTTCGTCCGACTGTCCGACGAAGTCTTACGGGGGTGGACAGTCCCCAGGTTCATTCCGACACATCAATCTATCTCGTCTTACGTACCCTGCACTAAGGAGTCGGTCTCCCGTACGCCCCACAGGGCCCCCTCATTGGATCCAACTAGAAACCAATCCCGCCCTCCGTGTCAGACCATTAGCCAGTTCCGTTTAAAATTTCGCAAGGGACTTGATACCAGAATGTCCATGATGCACTGGCCAGCCAAAATGCGTTAGTGTATAAATGCTAATATTTATATTAAATAACAGCTTCTTATTTAAGTCTCAAAATATATATACCTCAGTGTCATTAAGTAACGTTTATTAAATATTCATAAGATAAAATCTTCACTACAAAATATGCTGTATTGGATAAGCACTTTGCCTTCTATAAAGAGAAAGAAATACTGTCAGATTGCTGACAGGTGTTGTTTTTATCGATTAGAATAAAGTTAAAGCTTTATTCAGCCTCCAGAAGATCATAAATTTCTAGATAAAGAAAAATGCACAAAATTGTTTTGATCTACGTAATGTTAAAATTTTACAGTGGGAGGGAATTTATCAGTATTAGACTTTAATTTAATTAATTATTTGCATTTAACAAGAACAAATGAATTATAGTCACTTATAAATGGCCTTTAATTAAAAAGTTTATATTGTCATTATTATTTTACTTTAACATAAAAACAAAAAATAGGTTATTACTTTTTTATTGTTGTTATCGTTTTTATATAATATTCGTATAACGGAACGTACACACTTGATGCCCCATCGCTGCTATGTAGAACTGCAAAGTCAAATCTATATTTCAATATTTTCAAAGTTCAAATATTTTCTGTTTCTTCAATAAATATTGTTAAATAATTATAATACAAAATTACAAATCGTAATTAAATTTTAATATTTCATTGACATAAGTAAAAATTAAATAGTAACAAAAATGATAGAATTGTCTCCGCGTGTTTCCTTCCCGCGCACGTCGCGCTAGCTGGAAGTTGGTCATGGTCGTCCGCCAAACGGAAAGCCGCCATGATGGCTTTCTGTAAAGTACGCTCAATATGTAAAGTTTCCTTATTGTTTTTCATTAATTGTGACTGAGTGCGTGCAAAAATTAACCATGGGAACGAACTAGAGTGTGCAAAGTGTAGTTTAAGGTCCTTTGGGACCTCCTGGAGGAGCTATAAAGTGTTTTATAAGTGCATTTTAGTGTCGACGCTAGCGTGTTTTGTTCTGTCAACAAAATGTCGAAGCTCTCGTTTAGGGCGAGGGCCCTGGATGCGTCGAAACCAATGCCCATATATCTCGCCGAGGAGCTTCCGGACTTGCCGGACTACTCGGCGATTAATCGTGCAGTACCTCAAATGCCCTCTGGAATGGAAAAAGAGGAAGAAAGTGTGAGTATTTTGCGCATTTGGTAGCCGTCATGAAACTACTGTGTGGTCCGCCATCATGTTTTCGTTTCGTAATCTTACCGCTAGAGGCGGATATTTTGTTGGAATATATTTATTACAAATTATCCACTTATACCCAACTTATACGTATTGCCATGTATACCAAAATTCTCAGGAAATTCTAATAATCTTATAAACATTACGTTCTTGCACTTCTTACCTAAAATAACACTAACGTCAAAATTTGGCGCGTATACTCGGCATGGTATTAAAGTCGTGTCGTTTAGGTGCTGGTATTATCCTAAAATGCGATTTTGTCGTTAATTTTACAGTGGAGAAAGCTGAAATTTTGAGATCTACTTATTAGATATGTGTAGAAATGTCTGTGTTAAAATTATTATTAGCCGGCTTGTTGATCATGTGTTATTTGTTTACTAACAATTGGTACGCCGGTATGCGATGTACAAATGTGAGATAAATATTTATTTACTAGCTTCTGCTTTCGTCTTCTTGTACTTGGACTTTAAAACTGAAATAATACGATCCTATATTATATTTTAAAATTACGTTCCAAAATTGGTCTGTTTTACTAGGACATACATGCTGTTTCTAATTATGCGTCATTCTGATACTTCCAGAATGTTTGGTCTTTCTTTTAGAAGGACAAACATAAGAATCTTATTATTTACTAATTTATATCCATATGCAGTGAAGCAATTTAGTTTTCTGTTATTCACTTTTCAAACAAACAACTGCTTTTGATTTCTTTTCTTTTACTAATGAATTTAGAAATGGTTCTGTTTTTTTTTTAATAAGAAAAGGTTTTCTGATTGTGCTTGGCCTTTCCAAGGTTTTTAATGAATGCTTCAATGTTTGGGTATTGAATCTTTGGAACTTTACACATTATTTACTAAATATTTGAATGATGTTAAATATTTTTTGATTACATAAAATAATTCCATAGTCTATGTTGGAGTTAAGCTTTAGCTAAAATTGCAATCCAACCATGACGAATATTGGCTGATATACTTATCTCTACCTATATTAACGAAGATTATTATGTATACTACTAGTCAAGCTGTTCTGAGCTATGTCGCTTACCAAGAAAGAGTAAGTGAGACGGCAAAGCTATTATACATGTTGTGGTGATTCAACACTTTAGCAACAAATTTTACAGGTGTCCCTGTGGCTAATAGAAGTCTTTGATATTAACATTATGGACATTAAAGAGAGAAGATTAATATTGATCGGTTTCTAAAAATATAGATTTAGCTCTAATATCATGGGCATTTAAAAGACTGTCAGTACCAAACATTTTGATAATTTTCTAATTTGACCTCATAGTTGAAGTCTACTTTTTTACTTAGTTTTGGGTCTGTCAAAGTAAAAACATTATTTTTAATTATGTCAATACAATTATTATACATACAGCCAGTTGCACAAACATCCATTAAAAATGTCATTAGTTTAAAGCGACATTACTGATACAAATTTGACATTCATTGGAGCTTAAATGTGTCATTAAACGTTAATGGAAGTTTGTTCAACTCACCGTTAGTGATATTCATTTCATTTTTAATTATTGACCATGTCGCCTTACAGTTATTTTTACTTCGACATATATAGGTGATATTTGAGTTTTTTTTTTCAACTTATATATGCATTTTTTAATATGTTAGAGTATTTCACGTAAGTCAATTTATTTACAGTAGTTTTGTTCTTATAGTAATTATATTGAGCTGTCCGTCTATTTTTACAGCTTATTCTTAATCCTTATGTTATCCAGTTTTCCTTTCTTCTTTTCAAATTTATTTTAACTCTAAGTTTCGGAAAACACAATTTATATAACAAAACAAAGAGTTCATGGAAGTTATGAAAACTTATAATGAAATCAGTTTCGTTATAGACATGTGACCATGAAATACTGTTGAGATGTTTCCTAAATTTCATTATATTTTCCTGGCTAAAGTCCCTTGTATATATTTATAATACGACTGAATCTCATATTTTGAGCATTTTATAGGAAAACTCAGAAGTTGTGATGTTTCATGGTCAGAAAGGTGAAGCGGTAAAACCAAGGCAGTTGCGTCTTTAGTGTTACTTATTATTTGATTGATACATGATAGTTTTCAAGTTGGTTCTTTGATATGTGTTATCTGAGTTTTGCGCATTGTATTTATGTTTAAATCACCTGCTATAATTATTTTTATTTTTTACCAATGTTTATTAAATATTTCATTTAGTAAGCAATCTAATCTGTTTAACAATATATTAGGATCAGATTTGGGTGTCCTATAAAGGCAGAGTATTATAATTTTGTGTGCTAATATTTCTATGCCACAACATTCAAATAATTTTTGAGACGCATATTTTGTAAATAAGGTAATTCCTTACAGCTAAGGCCTATACAAGCCAATATAGCAGTGCCACCTCGTATTTTATTTCGAGAAAAAGCAGAAATCAATCTGTAATTATGAAGTTGTATATAATTTTCCTGACCTGACTCTATGAATGTTTCACTCAGGCATATAATATCTGGGTCCCTATTTTCTTCTACCAATTCTTGAATAGAAAGTTCTAATTCATTTAAATTAATGTATCATTCGTGATTGTTTTATTTATAATTAGAATTAATATCTTAGATTGGTAGTATACAGAATTTGCCACCAAACATCCACATTAATTAAAATGCGATAAAAAGAACAGTGGTCGAGTTAACATATGTCTGATAAGTTGTTCTTTTTTTTGTCATTTGAAGCAGTTATTTTTCTTACCAACATGAAAAAAATTGAGATGTTCAAGAATTACTGAAGATACTGGTCTAGAGTGAGATATGCCCATATGATACATTAATTTGTTTGTTGAATTCATCTTTCTATATGGACAGGTGGGCAAGTAAACTCACTTCGTACCAAGCTACCACTGGACTTACTGCAGTTTAAATCAGGATTAAGTAACAGAGATTCAAAAAGTGATGGATTATCTGGATTATTAGTAATTAAATTAAAGTTGTTTATCATTATTTTTTGGATTCCGGTTTTAACTAGAAAACCTCCTTTTTGTAATACATTTTTTTTTAAATTATTATTATGGAACGTTCAGGAATCAGTGAAGAGGATGTGATAATAATAGTTATAATTTTTACTTATTTTTTAGATATATATTTGATTTATGATTTACTCTAATAAATTATCCAATAAATTAAGTTTATTGGATAACTTATTAGATTTTGTATATTTTTATAAGTCTCCTTATATAGGGAACAATCTGGATTACGTCTTGAATGTTATGGTTATTTTTGAAGATTTACACTTTGCTATTATGCTTGGCGGAATGCTTGGATCTTTTCTATTTCAATAACTAGTAGGTCTTTGCGATCGACGATTAGACAATGAACAGAAATTCGTTAAATTGATTTTCAAAGAGGACACGTAATAAATTTCTGCGATAATACAAGTCTTTTCCTCACTCAGACAACAATATGAATTATCGCACACCGTAACGTCCGATAGTTTCATATGTTTAGCAGCAAATCGACACAATTTTCCACAGATCCCATCGTAACGACGGATCCTACCATATAGGGCACCCTTAAAAATCGTGCCTTGTAATATTACTCGCTTCTATCTTCTCGTCCCTCACGAGAACTGGTGTGACAATATATCTGGGTTCATTTATTTTATTTTTTTTATGGAGTCATATATTAACACACACAGAGTTCTATCACACAAAGAAATCACATTAATTTATAAGGAACTCTCCTAATAAATTAATGTGATTACTTTGTTAGTTACTCAAATAAGTCTACACATAAGTGCTTATGTTACAAACAACTAAATGAGTTAATAGCAACATTCGATAGAACAGTATTAATAAATTAGTTTTCTTCTCATTCCGAAGTCCACTTATATAACGTTCCGAGCGTAGGTAATAATGTAAAAAAAATTAGGTAATTTTGCGTTTATAGGTAGGTATATTTTTAGTTATTGATGGCTCAAGTACTTATTGTAGTTAAACATTTGAAGTTGCCATTTAATGTTTCTACTTAAACTGGTTCGGTTCATCAAACTTGCGCAGGTACCTAACAGTCAATTGCCTACAAATTTTAAGCTATTTAAACATTAATGAATGATTCATTAAAGCAAAGTTGCGGAATAATTTAAAGTATCATTACCAATGTTTTTGGTGCCATGAAAATTTTTCAACAACTGGAACCCGAGTAACTCGCCGGAGCACTCTCTGTGTTTGGCATGATGTTGAAATCGGAAAATATCTGAATGAATTTCAAAAGAAAACCCTAATGAGTATTTATTAAAAAATTAAAGCTAGAATTAATGAATTCGAAGCTTAACAAGCAAATTAATTATCATCACAGACGGTGTATTAAGGTTCATTGTGATTTATTGCATAATCAGCAAACGCTGGCGTGTTGATAAATGATATTGCTGAATCCCCTTGACAGATCGGTTAGGGGAGATACCTCCTGGTAAAAACTACAAAATTTCTATTAGGTGCGAAATATTTTTTTTATTTCATGAATACAGAAAACTGGCCCTTATCATGAGTTATTAAGGCTGTGCTTAAAACTGACAAAGAAACGAGACAAAATAACGAGGACTATCAATGACAGAGATAGATAGATGATGTGGAATTGTGCGGAAAAGATATTTTTTTATTTATTGCCCGAAAACCATTTAAGTAGGTTTTTTGTTAAATGGCTTGCATTAGGGCTTGGGCATAGCCACATATTTTTCTATTCAATTGTTACTAAAATAGAAGGTACCTATACGTTATAGCATTAGACACAAGTTAAGTAAGGTTCTTTTTGTGGTATACTTTGTGACAAAATATCAATAATCATGTTTCCCTTAAGACTGATGGCTAATTTGCTATATATCCACTTAAATAGCAATTGCTATACTTAACAGTTGTCGGTTAAGCTATTAAACGCTATTAAACAAATTTATGATTATTTCATTAATTAAATTATTTGATAACTATTA